CAAGCCTATAGAAGCAAAACTGCTGCAAAGTGAGTGGCCGTCCAGGACTAGACTCAGCTCTGCCACCCTCCCCCTTGATCCAGTTACCTCTGTAACATCATTTTTGTTGAGGTTCCTCAGGCTGGCAAGAGCAGCATCCAGGGCTGGGAGGGCTTCAGCCAAGTCCTTCTGAGCATCATCTGCAATGGCTTGGGCTGTCTGAGCTTTCAGTTTGGCCTTCATCTCCTCAGCCTGCACGGCACTTCTTGTCTCTTCGGCCAGAGCTGTGTCCACCTGCAAACACCAGAGACAGACTCAGAAGCATGCTGGAGCCAGAGCACCCCTTTGGCTTGGCTCAGCGCTGCCAGGTGGTGATCACAGATGTCCTGGCAGGTCATGGGTTTTCTTCTAGCAGAGACATGCTGGGGTCTTGCTGCTGGAGGGGATCCTCTTCCTGCATCATACTGGCAGGAGGGTTTTGTCAGTGTGTAGATATCATCCACAAGCTCCAGTTCTGGCTGTGCCTGGATTGCTGTTAGTACTGCAGCAATTAGCTGCTCTACCATTTTTTCCTGTTAGTATAGGGATGCAAATGAGTAGGGAGATGGAGGACTAAGAAGATATGCTGAGGGTTTTGTTTCTAAAACTGTCACTTCTGTCTACCCCTAGGGTTAAAACACTACCAGGAGGTGTAAAGGGAATGTGGAATATAGCCAAATCTTTTTCTGTGAGTGGATCAGGCTGCCTTCCCAAAGCTCCCTGGGAAGATGAGATTGCAGACTCTTTCCCCTTTGCATGCAGAGCTGTATGATGTTAGCGTCTGTTCCCATAGTCTCAGTCTGGCCGTCCCATAGTAGGAGGCAGGCAGGGAAGAACACAAGGAGGAGGGAAGTTAGTGACAGCCAACACCGGACAGTTCCAACACAGGACAGTTCCCTCTTCTGCAGTGGCATGAGTGACTGTGTGTGGTGATCCCTGAGGTTTGGGCTAGCAGGGGCAGGCTGCAGCTGGATCATCTCCCTGGGGATGGGATGTGGGGGAGTGATCCCTTTCGGCAACAACAGTCTGGGCTTAGAGTGGCTCAGGCCACTTGAGGATTGTGTTAGTAGTGTTGCTAGTCTGTGCTTGCAAGGATCTAAACCAGCGAGGAAAGGGAGCTGGTAGCTTGGCTGACTGACCCCTGAGTTGTGGTTTCAGACAGGGGCATGTAAGCCATCACTTCTGGCAACTGGCTGGTAGGCTGTGACTGGCCCCCACCAATGCCGGGGCAGGGACCCCAGCAGAAGGCCATTCTCGCTGTCAGTGCTGAGCTGCATAAATACCTGCTGTGCTAATCTGGGGCCTTTTTACTGTCAGATCAAGCAGGATTTTGTACAATCCCTGCAAAGCCTGCCCAAGCCCTAAGCAGCCAGACTTGGAAAGTGCAGAGTTGTCCAGCAGCAGTACCTGCAGTTTCTCCATGGTTGCCAGTGTGTCCTTGGCTGCTTGTGCCAGGAGAGGGCGGGCAGACTCCAGCTCCTCCTGCATCCTCGCTACATCCTCTGCTGTTTGCAGGAGCTGTGGGAGCAGAGCAGAGTGAGAACACAGGCAGCAGCCACGGAAAGCCCCAGGAAAGAGCTGTGCTGCCTTGGTCCCTGCTTAAGCAAGAGTCTGGCACTGTGGTGTGCTTAGACAGTAGTGCCTAATGGTGCCTGCACGTGGTGGGCATTACTTCATAAGCTCATGGCAATCAGTCAGCAGAACAATGGTGATATAGGGATTTCAATTAAAAGGTTAATAAGGAATGTTCTGAGAGATCATGAGCTACAGAGAGGTTTGTGGTCCCCAAAGACTGGGTACCATCATTCTTTTAGAGCCGTTACAAACCCAGACCTTCAGAAAGACTGGCCCTGGCAGAAGACATAGTTCTCACTTGCTTTAGCATGAGCTTTCTCCTGTTACACAGGAGATGTGTGGGGCATCTCACTGCATCTCTGAGCTATAAATACACTGCTCAGAGCACATAAGGGGCCCCCAAAGCTCTCCTGGGTGTGAGGGACGAACCTTGTCCAGGCCACTTTTCATCCTGTTCTTGGCTGTCCTCAGTTCCTGTTTCTTCTTTCCAATCAGGGAACTGAAGATGCTGAGGAACTCGAGGTAGCTCTTGGGAGTGACATAATTGTGTCTGGCCAGCTCTGCCAGGTACACTTGGCACTTCTTTGCCACGCTCTGATGGATTTTTACACATACTTGAGTCTACAAGGAGAAAGAAAATAAACAATCTTAGTCAGTAGTGAACATGTGGTAGGCAAGTCTATGTGATACCCCTTGTGCTCATAGAGAGCACAAGGGGCTTACAAAGAGCCTAAGTATACATTCAAAGCAGAGCTTATATATGCATGTGGGCTTCAACGCCCATTTCAAGGCATATACAAGCTAACCAGTTCTGTATTTGAATAACTCTGCCACAAAACACTTCTGCTGCAGCGTAGGACCTTTCTGCAGGCGTGTCCTTCATCCAGCGTCTAGCTGTACCTAGAGCCATGGCACATGTAGCATACAGGAGGTGTTTTGTATGTTGAGTTCAGCACCTACCATTCCATCAACATCTTCAGTACTGGCACCAAGGTGTGGGATCTCATGCAAGAAGGAGGAGGCAACAGACTGCAGGGCTTCAGCAGGCCACTTGTTAAACCAGTTGATGGTACAGCAGTTCACAAGAGAGGGGAACTGTCTCAAGCGTGCGCGGAAGACTTCTCCAATAGGGCTGAGAGAAAGACATGCAGAAATGAGATGTTACAACTAGCTGCAGATACAAGGATAAAATATCTTTCCTGTTTCCCTCGAGCCATTCTGAACTGTTATAAGTATCACTCAAGGGGAATATACCCAAGGAACAAGGAGGGAGGGAAATAGGGAATGGAAGTCCAGGCAATGAGCCATGTATCTTGATTCTATGATCTTAAGGCATGTCATAGCTCACTCCTTGGAAGTCCTGGGTATAATCTAGAAGCACTAAGATGGTAGTGGGGTGATGTTTTCTGGGTCCCTCCCTAGGGAGAACAGTTAAGGGGTAAGAAATAAATGTGATCTGAAGTCTATTTCTAGCAAGTGAGTGCAGAGATTGCATCACCAGACCAAAATCATGGCCCCGATTCTTCCACTCCTACTTACACTGAGAATGCCCGGTACCTTCTGGCAGCTCTCCTGCAAGCAAGCAAGCTGCTCGTGGACTATGCATTAGATTCATGAGTAAACATGGTGCAAATGAGCCCCAAATTCAAGCAAGATATTTTTGTAACAAACAGCTCAATGGTGCATGAAGGAGGAGGACGCTTCTATTTAATCTGGATCACATATAATCATATTCTTAAACTTTTCAAACTTCTTGAAACCGGAAAATGTAAAAAAAAAAAAAAAGTATCCAGTCCTATGGGAAGGTGGTATGCAAAC